TAAATTAATATATTAATCATGTAAATCTAACTCTAATACTTCCCTGTAAAAATCTAGAAGAAATCCGCGAAATTGACCCAACTTTTTCTTAGTCAAGAATGGGTTCTGTCTGCTTTTTCAAAACTGTCTGGAGACTGTTTGATAGATTCATTTAAAGCCTTAGTCCGAAGTTTATCATAATATTGGGTAACATAATAGCCTCTGATATGTAATAGGCATCGGCCACAAGCAGAAGAGGTAGGTTTACCACAATCAGAGTAAAGGATACGTTTTTTAGCTTTCTAATGGAATCGATATCTTTCAGGGCGAATACAAGCTCTCCCACAAGCCTCTCCAGAATTTTTAAGATAGGAGCAAAAATACTCACCAATCATTCTGCTATTTTTATCACTAAATTCGAAAAGTGATACGTACTCTACATATATAATAATTAATTAATAAAGAAAAAATTTTATAAACAAGTAAAAGCGTGACGGTTAAAGCTAACACTATGGTTAAAAAAAACAAGAAGTGATAAGAAAGTTAGAATCTGTAAACGTTGTAGTCGTGAATGCTCAACACTTCAAAAACTTTGTGAACATCTTAAGCGAAAAAATCTATGCAAACCATTACAAGAAGCTAACCAACAACCCATTAAAAAAGATATTCAAAAACCTGTTCAAGTGGCTATCCAAGAACCTATTCAAAAGAATAGAGACTATATTAGCCAGAAGGAGGCAGACAAATGGGTTAGCCCAAATGCCCGAAAACCTGGTAAACATTTTAGAACATGAGGAACACGACTACAAAAAAGATGAAAAGAACTTGGTCTAGGTAAATATCTTAAAACAAAAAACTTGGATGACTATATGACTCTCTGTCATGATCTTGAACAATACAATCCAGAAGTAGTTAGACCACCAACAAAAGAGGAATTAAAAGAAGAACATGAAAAAAGAAAATTAGAAGAGATCAAGAAGAGACAAGAAAGACCAAAAAAAGACCTAGAGTTTAGAGAGCAAGAAGAGTTGGAAATGGCAGTTAAAAGAAGAGCTATAGCT